AACTGTTTGCATAATTTTGGGTCACTTTATAACCAGTTTCTTTTTACCTTTTTCGATTTAAAGATATACCGTACCCTACTGTACAGAGAAGCGATATGTAGTACCTGAAGAATTGCGCCATTGTGAGGAAATAGTAGGGATTTATGCGTCCAAGAAAATACACATTTCTAGCCATCATTTGCTGAGCTTTATATAAATTACGCTATGTTGGTCAGTAAGAATCAGTGATCTTGTTCTAGTTTCACATAAATTTATATAGCGACCAAGTCAGACGTATGCCAGGCATAACATTAGCTAATCTCATAGCGACGGCCCAGCCCGGAGCTAGGCAAATACATATCCGATAAATATTGCCTAGATGTTTGTCGCAGAAACATGTTTTTGCCCGTTAGTTTTGGTATCAGAAAAAAACAAGCAGGTTTTATTTGGAATAGAACAACGAAACTGTAATGGCGAAAGACAGCTATGACGTCATTTTTTGAAATTGAGCGAAGATCGGCCGCTATTCAATGTGTTCATACGAGACGAACTTCCATTTGGAATATAAACATTGTGGCTTATCTTAAATCGATAGTCTACAACATTGCAAAGGCATATCGTCTGCAAAAACGCTAATGCAGGCTCTAGCACAACCCAAAGGAAAATCCACGACAACGAAAGGACAGCGCAGATTTAAGAGTTAATCACCGCCGTCTTAAAGGCGCAGTCCTGATAATTTATCTGTTTCGGTCAGGGCGTGAATGAAAAAATTTGTTCCAAGTACGATACCACGGGTGCTCACAAAGACCTCGGGTGCACGTCGTATCGTATAAAAATTAGACAGATGTTCCTCGAGGACTATAAAACCAGGAAATTTCGTCAAAGTCGTTTGCTCCTTCTCAATTCCCTCGAGAATGAAGCAGCAGGTCGTCCTCGGTTTTTCTTTGGCAGGGAAATATATATCATCGATGCAAAAATCAACCGCAGAAGCGATCGCTAGTTTACTCACGATCCAGAGGACGTGCCTATTGTGGTTAAAAGAAAATTTTCGGGCAATGCTAATGCACTGAGTCCGGTGTCCAGTAAAAACTACTACACTTTCTACACGACGGCGAGTGCATTATTAAAAAAGCTTATTTATGTGCGCTGCAAACTGTTGTGCAACTGTGGATAGCTGAACTGTGTCTAAAGGGGAGCCATGCGTTTTTCAACAAGATGGAAGAGCGTCTCATTGTCACCGATTAGGGTAGGGGTGGCTGCTTGAAAGTACGACCATGCTGTGAAATAAGCACACATGGCCGCTGAAAAGCCCAGATTTGAACCAGCTGAATAATTATGTCCGGAGCATGCAAAACGGCTTGTAAAAGTCCAGATTTATGATTTATATATATAATGGTACATGGAAAACGGGACTGTCCAGCCGAATAGACGATGTTGGAGGCGAGAGGGGCAATTGCGTAACGGAGCTTCAAGGCAAAGTTGCGCAAACACCTTCCTATTTCCTCCGCCGCTAATAATCGTAATGCGTCAGTGCGAGATCGACGCTGCTAGCTGCGTCGGCTTTTAGCCTCTTGAACTTAGATTCAGTCTGTTTGACAAACACTGCAAAGACGACAAAGTTAGTCAGCTTTGCTAACTTGATTACAGTAGCACGAGTAACGTTTTATGCCGAATTAGGCCACACCGTGCGGAAGGTCTCGTTATTCAGAGATGTCACAACGAAGGTAGACAAAAACACCGCGAACTGATACTTTTCTATTTTTGCTTCAAGAAAGGGCACACTGAAGCTGCATGCTAATAATCGCATTCTTTTGGTGTCAGGCCAACGCAGGCCAATATGCAAGCTCATTTTTGTATCGTCACTACCAAGTGCCGCATCTTACGTACACCTTGATAAGGTAAGGCGGACGTTACTTTGACGGCGTCGTCAAAACCGCTTGAAGTCATCTATCCTAGACGAGCGCTTTAGTAACCACGCAGCAGAATGATGGAGAGTCGAATTTAAGTTTAAAAAGGCTAAGAACCCAAAATGTTTCGACCCGGAATGTTGTCGAATCTTCAATGCTTCGAGTCTTTCAGCAAAATCATCTGTACCTAAAGCAAAGGGGTGATGTTTTACTTTACATATAAAAGAAAATGCCGGTCGCAAGATAAGGATATCTTGCTTGATAAGGATAGCTAATATGCTATAGAATATTTGGAAACTAAATAAACGTCGAAGGCCATGTAAACGTAAAGCAGGTAGCGGTAGAGCGCAAGTTCCTGCCAGCCGACCGATAAGGAAATCCACTGTTTGCTTGCTTTTTATACATACATTTGTCTTAGTTACATCAAAATCGGGAAGAAGGAAGCATTTCCAGTTTGTCTTTTTTATATTAATTGATTAGCTTTTTACATGCCTAATGAGCTTCTCAAGAATAATACTCCGCTTCTAACAGATTGACTCCAGAAAAAAATCTGTAAAGAACGTCATTAATAGTCCAGGCAGGACATGTTATTCTACGTAAACGGGTACTGGTAATCCTTGTATTCGCGTTACGGTTTTTGTCGAAGCAATGTAATGTTCCTTGGCAGTTTGGCTCTTTATTTGTTAAAAAGGGTTGTCTGATGCAACAGCTTCTCGTGCTTTACGATGATTGGAAGTGTGCTCTTATTTTTATTTAATCTACAAAAGGCTCGCGTGACTATCCCTGGCGTTGGATAGCGAGTGTTGTGAAATTGAATAAATCATAAGATTCCCTTGCTGTAAATTGTCCATGCAGTATGGGGGCGCCAACCCCTGATAAGATCATAATGGCTCAGGGTGGAGAACTAGCGCAAAGATACGCCCTCGATCAGCTTATCTTACAGACACACAAGAAAACCACCCGACTCTTTGCTAGCACTGGACATGGAAGGGTAAAACCTTCCGAATTCATTGATCAACCCTGAAAATGTGCCGGTAAGCCTCAAACAGCGTTGGCGTCTGTCGGAACGATGATGGGAGCGGGGATAGCAATACCAATGTTCGTGATAGTGACAGTAAATTGATAGCGGTATGAAAAGCTTCCCTCTGTGGGAAAAAGTGTTTCTCTATAAAAACAGCATGAACATTACTAAAAAGAATAAATTGTAAAAACATATTGACTACGGTGAAGTTTCCGCTTATCAAGAGATTCGAAAGAATGCAAATTTTTAGTAGCGTTTAACAAAACCTACTAATAATATACGCACCACGCTTTTCATACATATAGCACTACGGTGGCTCATAATGTCATCTTTAGTAAAAAGGATAACAGTACGAGCAAACGGATTCTCCGCACCTTGGTTAAGAGTCTGGGGAAGTTATTCTAGGCTATTTTACTTTATTATTATTAAAAGTTATCTAAACGAGAATATCTCTTCACACGCGATTTGTTTATTTTAGACAATTTTTTGTAAAAGTTGCAGTAACAAGGTACTTTGGACGTTTCAAGGATCAGACCTCATGTTATTGCTTTTTCCATTTTTGTATACTTGCATCACTCGAACGAATTAGTTCTCGACTTGTACACAAGGTGTTATGGAAACAACACAAAGAAAATGCTTTTTGCTAGATAATAAACCATATATACTAAAACTATAAAAGAGTAGTATTTGATTTTTTAATTAAGCGTACGTGTGTATATATCACATTTTCGCTGTAACCGTTGAGATTCAATAGATTGTATTTTCCATTAACCTTTGCTCAGCTCGGAGAACGGTATTTATTCCTTACTCAGGAGCAACACCCTTAATAGCCTAGCTTCAAAAGAACCTGCGAAATGAAACAAAGCAGCAGGAACGAGTCCGCACCAACAATAATTACAGTTATTATTTTATGTGAAACCTAGTTCGCTCACCCAGTAAGCGCTCTTGTTAATCTTTGCCCATTTGCCCCAGCATACCGGCACGCATAGACTCTGCCCGCCCGCCCGCCTGCTCCGACCGTAAAACAGGTGGAAAAGCTCCACTTCGTGTTGCTAGAGGACGTGCGTTCAGGGATTACGAACAGAAAACAAGAGAAGAACGATGCCCCCGGCGGGCTGTAGAAGGGGGAATAATTAAAGCATAATCTCCATCATTATGACTGGCTCACGACTCTTCACACGAATGCACGCCACACGATTACCTGTTACGTTGCTATCGACCCTCGTATGGTATTGTGTAGCTCGGGAATTGCCGCACGAATGGGACCTGTCTGCATATTTTTTCGCATAATCTCAGAACTGTGAATGCTTTTGTTGGTGCTTTTTTTTGAATCGATTTTCAGTTGTCTTTCTTTCAGGGGGCAATAAGTGCACGGTAGGAATATGCTAGACATGCACCGACCACGGTGCCCCGAATTGTCTAAGTATTTATGTGCGTTCTATAAATGTAGACATTATATCAGACGTGAAGTAGATGGATAATTTATTGGTTTAGTAACTACTCTGTGAAGCGCGAGTACGCGCACAGCAGTCGGTGCACGAATTTGGTATCAAGTATTAGACAAGGTAAAATTGTAGATTTGTACTGGGCCTGACAGAGAGCTCTTTTGGCCAGTTATCCTTGCATGATCTTGAAGCTTGTTTTCTTGTTAAAATACCTCATTAACAAAAAATGTTAATCATAGGACGGTAACAGTTGTACTTACTTAAAATAACGGAAAAGGTAGCAGAGTAGTGGTTAAAGTCTGTTGCACACGCTGACCGTTCTGTGACCCATTGAGAGTCTATGACCTAGCACATCACAGGACGTCTAAAAAACAACGAGCAACACGTAAAAGTTCCCGAAAGCAGACTTTTAACTAGTAGATAAGAAAGTGCCCTCGACTGCAACCAACACATAATAAAAGCGTTCGAATAAAAAATTGGGTGAATCTATGTATTTGTGCAGAAGCTAGGTAGGGAGACACGCTTTTATTCGGCCCACACAATTCGATTTACCTCTCTATCGTCCCGTACGTCTCTGTCAACAGTTGTGACTAGCGGATCGAGGGGTGCACGGTTGGTCGTATTCGAATAGCTAACACAGATGAACGACGCAAATGCTAAGCATTGGAAAAGCATTGGATTGGCCTTCAACGTTGCGTCCGTCGATGTTTAAAGGATCACAGTGAGTCCTTGTTTCTATGGAATGTTCTAGAAGCTACTTATGGCAACAAAATACATTTCATATGTTCGATCCATTAATGGCCTTCACCATAGGCAAGACCAGTGACGTTTTCCTTCAATTTTCGAAGGGCCTTAGCAGCCAAATACGTGGAATTATATCTAATATGCAAAAATACGCAACGATTTAGAATTATACACCAACCTCAGCTCATCTTGTGAGTATAGAAGTATATATTGTGTACTTTCTTCTAGATAAAGTACATTCTTCAAATTTGCTGAGCAGCAGAAATAATCTATTGCGATTTCGGCATCTACTAGCACATCAACACCGATAGGAAAATTATTACTATTATTTAATTAGAACATGTTAGTCAAAAATAGTTGCTATGTGCCTAAATAGTGTACCGTCATTGAGGTTCACTAGAAAGTGATGGGGTTTTGCGCCTGACAGGCACATATAGAACTTGAGTCGAATTCTAGCAGTTGTATTAATAGTAACTTTTCGTTATTTATTTCGTTTCACTATAATTATTTTTCGTCCAGTCAGTTCATGGGACCGCCTTTATTGCCAACTGTCCGTCGAATTTCTAAGTAATAGTCAGAGAAGTTGGTGATCCGTCAATGCAAAGTATGGAATAAGGAGCAGGTACAAAAAAATCACCTACGCAAGTTCTTACACGGTTTTAACGACGTTTACCAGGTACGTCGGGCGGTTGTAGAGAGAGATATCTTTTTTTGTCTATAAAACTTTTTCCCTTATATAGCTTATTTTACTTAATGCTAATAAATAACGGGCCACGCGCACATTTTCTTCGCCACTCCTGCTTTTCTCAATCATTTCCGCCATACCGCTCCTGAGATGAAGTTATGAAGCACCGACTCGTTTCTCTATTTGACCTCAACGTGTGGATTTCACCTCTTGTCGCCCCCAACAATCCTGTAAAGGGGTCTGTCATAGTATCTTAGCGAGTTAATGAAAGATAACGGCTAACCGTTTTTCTTCAACTTATTCACTCAGTGAACAGGGCATCCGTGCTACTGGTTTTTTTATATCGCGTAAATTTAAGACACAGGACGAAGGATCGCAACCCATGTGCTTGACCAAGCGACGAACTGTTTAACGTTTGAAATTACCGTGGACCTCTGATGAATAAGGATTGAACTCCCAGGTGCAAATGGCATCGCTCATCGTATACAATTTTTCAGTTGAGTCTTTACTGTATACGAAGTGAACATTCCAGATCGTCCCGAGTATGTTGACCCTACGAAAGGATAAACAGTGGTGGCATCGAAGATGTACAATGTAGTATTCATCCTTTAAATGAAGTTCTTCTCACTACACAGTGAAGCTTCTATAGGAGAAAGCGCTCCTTAGAGTAGTATATAGAAGTAAACCGGTAATGGGGAGAAAAGGGAGATACTCAAAGAAACCGTTATCTCTTTTTATCTACATAGTATTTATGAAAATATTTTCATTTGGCCTTTTTTTAATCTTAAAGATAAAAAAGCAAACAAGTCGCATTGCACAGACGAGAAAGATGACAGACTGTGATAAGACGTGTTGTCACAATCTGCCCGTACTGAAAAAGTTAATAGATACCCGCGACGTTACTGAAGCAAATACAAGGGCAGTAGATCCGTATCATGTACTTGAATAGTGCAGAGGGTCGTCAGTTCAAATGGGCACTCCCCCAAACAGGAAATATTCGCGATAGAATAATTAAGGCCAATGCAACCCCCAAGTGATCGCTTTAAGCGGTGTTCCTATTCTATTACTGCCAAGCACGCTTCTGATTTGTACTATAATGTGTGCTTTAAAATGTGCATATGTACTTAATAACTAATTAATTTACCTGGCATAAATGAAAAAGCTAAAACGTCTCTTAAAATGCGATTTCTCAAGAAACGTTTATTTTGACTTGACATGCCTACCGGATGTATGCTTAGAGCTTCATGGCCCATTAGAAAGCAGCTTGATAACAAAACAGAGAAAGCCACGGCTTTGCCTCACAAGCTATTTAAGCCACTATAATTCCTTTAATTTAAATCTACATACAAAACTCTATGGGGCGTAATCTACTATGCAATGCATGACAACGGTTTGTATAGAAGCTCTTCGTTAACGAGACGGCTACTGAGATATTATTTGAGAGATATTATGATAAATATCATCGCTCCGCATAGTATATTATTATACCCATAGCTCGACGTTAAAAAAAAACTCTCCTTTTCACGTCAACAGAAAAGAGTGGAGGTATGATTTAATAATAATGACGGATTTACCACAACGTATATTTGGAGAGTTAGTACTCGTTTTGTCCTATTTTGTCAATAGGAAGAAGCATTGTACGGCTGATATTTAAGGCTCGTATTAGTGTATAGAAGATTGTGGATGAAATAATTTATTCAAGCTCACAATTAACAAACATACGTACATATCTAGACACACAACTTCTCAATGTTCATAATTAGGTCCTGTCACCAAATTCTTGTTTGGTGTGGAACCATAGGAGTTAAGCTATGGAAAGTACTTGACGGTTAAAGGCTGGACAAAAACAAAGTTACCATTTCGATCTAATAGCTTAACTACGCGCAGAAATCCCCCGGGAGGGCGGGGGGATTTAAACTTGAAGGCGAGAAAATTAGTTAACTCGCACGGCTTGTTTTCTACCTATTTGATATGCAGTTATCTCAATGGGAACCAACCAAGCATATTTCTCTATGCATGCATCCAGTATTCCGTATTTATAAATGCATTCTTAAAAAAAGCAACAAAATATAAATTCGAAAACCGTACATTACGCTCCCATGCATGTCTTTGCTCAGTTTTCTTTGGATATTCTTAATCCTTGCGTTTAGTATTCGGACATCTTCCCCTTTCTATTTATTCTGTTTTCCTCTGCTATCCCACCTCTGTGTTCCTGTCTGCTTCCTCCATAGCTGTTATGTTTCGTTCTGTTAAGAAGTGCAACAGAGACAGCAGCAATAACAACCGTTATCGCGTCGCCAGGTAACTAAAGCGTCATGAAACTTTCAAAGACACTTTGCCCACGTCTTTCCCGTTGTCCTAGCGCAATCGTCGTCTGGTCTTTTCCTGCTGGCTCGTTGGCCCGTCGCTGCTTCCTTTTCTGTCAGTTATCCTTTAAAGTTTGCGCTTCGCATCTCCTGGCACTAGGTTGCCTTAGCCTTTCCGTCGACTACCGACTCTGTCTGACTCCATTGCTATTGCCGCGCTGGTTTGAACAACCATCCCGCTCGTTTGCACACTTCTCGGTATGCACACACAGACGCTTACATACATACACGGGACTGAGCTCTTGCTTGTCGGCACTCACTACCTGTGCCGGTTTATGCTCTATAGTAAATGCTCTGTAACCAACTCTTCCACCACTGCTAGGAGCTGGCCAACAGAAAAAAAGTTACTTACAGAAACGTCTCGACGGCGGGCCGTTTGCCGCTGCTCCAGATCTGTGTGAGCCTTCATCGGTAGAAGTAGGTAGGCGGGATGGTTTGTGAGGGCACTTCTAGTAGAGTAGCGGCCTGTAGGGGCAATATCCGCAGATAGCGTTGGGCACCGGTAGATAGCATCCATGTGGATACTGATGCCTCCGCTGCAGAAGGTTGGTAGGGTTTGTTTCTAACTGTGGTCATGCAGCTAGTTCCAGCTGTATCATTGTTGTTGTTGTTGCGTCTGTAGGCAGTAGCGACGGCTGTGAGTTTCTGTTTTCCTCTCATGTCGCCGGGCGTGGACAGATGCGCAACCGCGCATGTGTTGGTAAATATTCAACTAAAAGGCCCGCCCTGAATGGGCCTCGCACTTGCGCTTCTCCAGAATAATGGCTAGGATACCTGCAATGTCTACGGAAACAACAGCGACGCCGACGACGCACCGTTGACAACAACACCGAGTCTTATATCAACGGTAACAGCGCTACAAAATGGCAGAACAACTGCAAAAGTCGTGTTTTAGCACTATCTCCAATTCCCCCAGCCCTGTATCCTTCACAAAATTGGACTAGCACTTTTGTCCCTTTTAGTACCTTTTTTATTCGAGCGCCTGTCAACACGCTCTCTCACTGGCTGACTGGCTGGATAGCTCTACGTCGTCCGCGCTTGTTATAAAGCTCGCGTTTGCTGTAGTTTATAGCGCAGAGTTGCTATCTTTTATGCGATGCATATATGGGGGGCTTGCTAAAACTAGTGGTCCAAAACAAGTCAGCCAGCAAACCCGTGAAGCCTAACAAGAAAACCGTTTGTACTGAAAACAGTGCGCGACCGATAGCCGCATCCAGGTAGGTGATCGTTTTTTCCAAAACGAGTCAAGACTTCAAAATCAACAGAGCTTCCCAGAAGCATCTGGGACTCTAATCATTCAAAAAATCTGGAATAAAAAGAAATCCAACTGTAGGATCTAGTGCGTATATGATGAAGTATTCCGATATGCTGCAAATGTTAACATGTTGCTATATTTAAATTTTTCCATTTGTTTCGATGACTGGACGAACGGGGTATCGGGCTTGTATCTATGAAGTACTAGGATTAATTCCTATCTAAGGTCGAGTGTTTTTTTCATACTATTTTCATGCTACTACTACTACTACTACTACTTTAGTTGGTTCAATATAATTACACTTCCTACCCATAGGATATTTAGATGCAGGCCTAATCGTATCATTTCAGCCCTTGCAAAAAAATTACCATCCACCACTCTAGACTGATTTCGGGAAGAATATATCGATCCTATTTTCTTGCATTGCCAGTGTACGGTACTGTGCGAATTTCGCAATACTTAAAAACATTTTTAGAAAACCTCATCTTTTCTTGTAAATTTTTCGTCACATGTAGAAATCAGGAGTCTCTTAAAAGTGAATATATAATTGGTCTGCGAGAACAAAATGGTCCTTCATCGATTTTTAACAGTTTTGCTTAACGTTTACCTCCCAAGGCATTCTCTGAATTTATTTCATTCTTTTTGCTCAGGCTGTTGACGCTACACATAATAAAAAAAGAAGCATTAATTAAATATCGTATGCATGTAATACGCGGGCGGTTATCGAACGCTGGTTCCCTTAGAGAACGAGCAGACGAATCGAATACAATTGATTTAATTTGTTTACAACTTCAATACAATTCATTTAACTTCATCTCCGCTACGCCGACGTCAGGCAAAATGATCTCAGCAGTAAAAAGCGTTTCGGACTCGCATCAATAGGACATGCGTATACGTACAGGCAACATGTAGCGAATAGATTAAGGCAGTGTACAGTCATTACTTTGCTAGGCCATTGCTGTGTTTCCAGATGACTGAGCGCTTTGCAGCGACAACCGGCACACTGGCTGTGGCTGATGGGCCGACTTTTCCACGGCCATGTCCTGCCTTCTTGCTGCTGTCGTTTTCCGTCGCTTTCAGCCCTTATCTACTGCGAGACAGTAAGATCTGGGCGAATTGAAAACTCTTGGTTCTTCTTTTTCCGTCCATTCTTGTCTTGTCCTCGGTGGATCGTATTTTGTGGGCCGCACCGCGTCGCGCTCTTGACATTCGGCGGCATCGACGAAATGGCAAGCCCAGAGCTAAAAGCTAACGCGTCATTGAACATATCTGATGTTCCTCAGCTTCTTATTGTATCCAGCATTCAAAGAAATCAGAAATTCAGTGTCACGACATAGCGTTTACTTGCCAACAGTCCCATGCTTAGCTGTCAAAGCAGACAGAAATACCGAGCAAGCTATCTATTGTAGATGACAATGTTGCCTCTGTTGACTGACAGGTTTTCCTAACTCGACAGAACTTCTTATTTTCAGTGTTTATTTCAACCGAATATTGCAAACAATAATTGCTGATTGTTATGGCTGTTTGAAATTCATTCGAGAACCAGCCGCACGTACAAATGATTTTTTATACTAAAATTATCACTTTGTCAATATATACTGGCGGATCACAAAGATGGCAAAGTGAGTTCACCTGAAATACTCTCGAAAACTTCATGGACGACAGTACTTCTTTTAGCCACATGCATCTTTCTTCATTCTCTAGCCTCTAAAACATAAAATGCTAGAGGAACACAATTCAAGGGGAAGATCTGCTTATTTCCTAGTCAGTATAGCTCATACTTGGTCGTTGTAACATCTGCTAATATTCCCTAGCAAGAAATGGTTTAAGCTAATGTTGGCCTGACGCTTTCTGCCTATTGGGTTCGGGTTATGACGAACTCTTTTCGCTATGATCTGACCGCCCAGGGGAAAGGCGTTTGCTCTTATGGGTCGTTGGCTCTGTCCGACGAAGTTCGTGAATCATTACTTCTGGAAGGACCTTGGCTTCAACTTGGCCGGTGTTTCAACTCATGCGCGGCGAAACATGACTTATGTACATACTTTGCCCACTAGAGCACAACCCTCAAGAGAGTAAAAGCTTTCGCTTACTAGTTTAACCGGTAGTTGTTGCAAACGTAAAAGTTAACGTTTTTTCAATTGTTTAAAGAATTTTAGTTTGATATGGTATATATTGTGGTCAGATGCTGAAGTATCATTGACAGCCCCTAGATACTAAAGAGCTCTATTAAAATGTTTGCTTGGTTGATAATAGTTCCTAAAGATTCTTTACAAGCAACTTAAATATACTCTAGAGCGATGGTATTGGAGCTTACGACTGCCTTATCAGTGGTTGTATTATGTAAATATGTCGACGGAAGTTCGTCCGATTTTGCTACCGGCTACTGTGTTTTGTTTTTTGCTCAGCAAATAAGGACAAGCCGTCCCAGCAAAGGCTCAATAGCTAGATTGAACTTTGGACGTGACCGATTTAGCTTGCTCCCTCTATCTGAACTGTTTATTATTAACATTCCTCTTTCAGCAATCAAATCTATTATAATAACACAGTTTTTCATATAATGACGAAAGGTTGATCGGGTAAATATTGTCCATTATTTTTACTAATTCGTTAATGCCACTCCCCTTATTGGTTTGAACGCGTCGTTTGACGCCTATAAGCAATTGAACCTATAATACTTTAGGTAATTGTGGAGAAAGGTATTCTGTGCCTTTTTCTCATACGGTAACATTAAATTATATTTATTTATTTATTTAGCTGTATTTCGGGAGGTAAATATAGGCCACATACGGACCCGACCCGTGAGCCTTTTTCATATGAACAGAAAAATAATAACGTGTTTTTCTCCGTCTATATTTAAGCAGTGGGCAATAATGCCTATGGCATGGTGAGCTATGGCTTCCCGTCAATGTGTTCGATGGGCAAGTGAACCTTCATCAAATGGCGGCAGATCGCTTAAAAGACGTATGTGTTGAAGCTCATTTAAAGTGATGATTTTTTTTGTTGGGTTTCTTTCGTTTGACTGCCGTTAAGTTGTAACACACAATTCGCCAATGCATCCGTAATTCGATTCATAGACATACTTTATTATTAGCTGCTTGCTTGTCGAGAATAAAACGATAAATGTTTATCTGTAACTACAACAAATTGATATAGGTATAAATGATATACCTAATTTTCATCGATATATAAAAAATTACTGGGTCTCAAACCTGAAACCTCCTATTTGACTGTTACTTCTCACGAAGCAAGCTTCCTTTAATTAGAAAATCGTATGGTACAGAAGTATAAATAGGTGCCAAACCGAATAAAACCAATATTTTTCAGTGAATATCTTCTAGTTTTCGATACTACTAGCCAAATACGCTCGCGATTCTGTTTACCTTTGCAGATTTTCGGCTGTTCATCGACTGGCAACAGACGATCTGTCTAAGCTGTGGTCGGCATTCTCGCGTAAACCCCTAGTAACATTGGAAGGTATTTGAATAGCTTTTATTTTGCTCAGCTGGGCCAGTGACCCATAAAGACAAGTTAAAGACACAATCGAGTCGAATGAATTTTTGAGCAAAATGTCTATGACTATTATCTAGCGGGTATTCAGACAAGTAACATTGTTTCGATACTTAAAGCACGAATTTTTATGTATGTTCTATTTGGCGCGTAATTATATGCGGTTATGTAAATAACCTGTCGTTTATTACCTCTCCTCTAAAGCTTTGACAAACATGTGAACTTACATGTCCTTGGTCTATTTGCTAGAAGTTTACTACTACTCAGCTTAGAGCTATCGTTATCCTCAGTTATGTAAACTGATGATGGTATTGATAATGTCTTGCTGAACGATAAGGTAACCAAGCGCTTGTTGAAGTGGAAGCTTCGTCTCCTAGGACCCTTGTTGCCCATACATTAAGTAAACGATTTTTCGCCGTCCCACGTCTCTCGGACCCCTAGCGGCGGACTTCGTTAGTTCAGATACCTGCTAGCTTCTGCGAAACTCTGCCTAACACCAAACCTAGTATATCTGAACGCGTGTACTTCGCCTGGTTGCCTTGCCCCTAAAGTACCTTTATCAGCCGTATGCTCCTCTCCCGGATGGGACGATACAAACACTTAGTAACCTCCTAGCCAACCCGACCATAGATTCACGAATGTATTCCTTACATTATTCATCGTTCCAACCATTGCTATGCCTCAGCCCCAAGTCAAAGTTCTCCGCTGGTTCACAAGAGCCTTAGCGTCACCTACAGAGTGCTCCTGAGATAAGATAGGTATCCTCACAAGGAGCTCACAGCAGGGTTGACCTAGCAAGGTGCTGTGGTGGGTGTGATGCTATATTTTAGATGAGTCTCGTAAATAATGGCGGTGCCGAAGGGCGACGTTTTAAGCAATGTATACAAACATAGATATTCGACCAACGCTCCAAACGCATTAAACAGTAAACTAACAAAAAGCAGTATATATGTACGTTTAATGGCACTTCGTCAAGTCAGGTGTGCTGATATGTACGAAATACTAAGGTTGATGAAGATGTGGGTATATAATTCAAAAACCAAATAAGAATCATATGGATCGACTGTAGTATTCTTATTAGACTATAGACTTATTGTTCAATTTCGATATTGGGTTCTTTTTCAGGAATTATGATTTATGCCTATTTTATTTGATATTTTAGCTCATCAGCTGTTCTGAGTAGTTCAGTGCAGGTAGAATTATTCACATTTAAATGTATATACATATCTTTAAATAGAGCCATGATTCCTCGATCTAGACGTAATGAGCATTTCTCAAAAAAGAAATAGCTGAAAAGAATCTAAAGACGGGAACGGTAAACGTTTTTTGTTCCTTACATGAACGGTTTGGCACCACTCGTACGTTTTTGGCACGTTAACTTGATGAGCATTATGTCTAACAGACGCGTGTGAGGTGGGGGCCCTTTGCCGGCCGGCGATTAGAGCGAGCGAGCGACGAAAGTGGAAGAAGCTGTTTAGCCATCACGTGGATTTTCCCACTTCGTCTTTCCTCGCTTTCTCAGCCCCAGAATTTCATCACTATCTTGCTTCTTCCATTGTTCTCGTCTAACCCTATTCACTTCGTTCGTCTTTATTCCCTTCTTCTACCCCATCATTTCTTCTATTTTCTTCCTTCCTGAACTGACTACGAAGACTGCGCGTGTGTGTACATGTGTCTAGTGAGCATCCAAGTCCTGACTCAGCGATGACGGCGATCGGCGAATCGTCGGACTTTCTCACTGCTTGACTGCCTCCTTGCATCCGAACAAGGAACTTAGCCGGAGCGGGATTCTCTTGAGTTTGCCTTTTTCTTCATGTGCTTTTGCCTGTGTCTTCTTGCTCATGCTACTTCATCCTTAACTCGCTGCTCGCGCTGCTATCATCAGACACCATCATCCACTTTCTCTCCTGCTACTCTCCCTCGTTCTCCTTCATTTTCAGACTTTTTCGCTTTTTTTGGTCTTTTTGCCTTTTCTGCCGTTTCGCATCGGTCGTCCCTTCACCATTTTAGCCGTGCCGTGTCGCTGCTACAGCACAGTTCAGCCAGCCAACTAACGAACCAATACACCGTACGGTACAGAAGTCCATGGCCTTCTACCACACTCTAGCCCTTGTCTTTCACGCAGCAAGGACCGAGAGACTTAGGCTGGCTACACACACTGCCCAAGCTTTTCTTCCGAGAGGCTTCGATTGGCGCAGTACGTCGCCGCCCGTTGAGGAGCATAAATTGCTCGTACCCCTTGCTGTCTGTTTTCTTCTTAGCCTGATGGTGTAGACCCGGTTCCCCTTCCACTGCCATTTCTTCCACAGTCTGTCTTCTCCGCCAGTTTCCTACTCTGCCCAGAGCGTCTCTCAAGCAGCTCCTAGCAGTTCTGTATCTTTTTTGTCTTCTTCCCTTCTTCAAAAGGACGCAAAGAAGGAGGAGGAAATATCCTTGTCTTTTCCTTGCTTTAGTCCTTTTTCGTTTCTTCACATACTATTGCGTGCCTCATACCGATCTTGTTCCTGTTCTGTCGGTCCTTTACTTCATGCGTTGTCCGCACCGGCCCCCGTTCGGCGTTTTCTAGATCCTGCTGCCGGTCCTATTCTGCTCGGTCTCGTCGCTGACACTGCCGTCACTCTTAGGTTTTGCTCTGTGTCGTTCTAGCGTTGTTGGGTTTGAAGCAGCCAGCGAAGCAGCAACGGCAGGCAGACTGAAACAGCGGGTGCAACGAATGGTGTCTTTGCGTTCCTGCCGGTGCAGCCTCAGCCGCGTCTAGATTGTCTGAGCCACGAACTTCTCGTCATTTCAGCTCTATCCCTCCTTTTCTTTGCATTAGGCCTTTTTTGCATTGCGTCGATACAGTTTTTTCTGGCTTTTTCATTTACTTTTTTCACTTTCTACTCTTGTATCGAACGAACTAGTTCATAGTCGTTTGCTATCCTTCTTAGTATCTAGGTTTTTTATTCTGCTACCCTATTTCTCTTGCCTCTTTATCGAACGCTTGCCTCCGTTTTCGCGTCGGAAGTAAGCCAACCCTTCGGTGTGTAGTGGCACCATTCACGCATAGGAGCAGTGGCGCTGCGAGCAAACGAAGAGCCCAACCAGGAAGCCGCGTACTCCGCTGGTGAAGAGAACAGCAGGATAAAAGCACTTACCGTCGCAGCTGCAAGCACAGTAAGCACCCCTTTTGCTCTGAGGAAACCGTGCACTGGAGGCGGACTATTTTCCGTTCGCCGCGTGCTGTACTGCGCGATCAAACGCCAACTCCGATGCTAGACGACGTTCACTAGCACTGGTCTTATTAGGAAAAATATCTTGACATGCAGCATTATGACAGCTGGTCGATCCTGATAGCTGATTACAGCGAACAACGCGTATTCACATCGGTTACGCCTCTCACAGCGCGTATAGCAAAGAAAAATGAATCTAAGGACACCTTTTGGTTTCCTGCTTCGTCAGAGTAAGCTGGAGTAAACGCTTTATGTACGCAGTTGTCAATAGCCGGAACCTCCTTCTAGCAATGGTTAAAGGTGATGAGAATGAGCCAACGGCGAAAAGATCCTCGGGATAGATCAGTTAGCCCGTCAGTCGCTTTCATAAGCCTGCTCATGGAATCAATCGAGCACAAAATATATTTGGTTTTGATCATTGCTACGTTTTGGTGAGAAGCAAATTGAGATGAAGCAAATTTCTAAATCTCCTCCACATATAACCGAAAAAGATGGAGCTCCTCATTTAAAGATGTGTTTCATGCTTCTCTTTTATAGTCTTCTCATAGGCACTTTCTAGCATTTCAAATATTAGCGGGTTTTCACGAATTAGACAACTTGTTGTCGCCTGGAGTTGCTTGTGAACTTTTTTTGTATAGAAATAGTATTGAGAAGAAAGTGCGTCAGCAACAACAAATGTTAATGACGTATAACCGGCGCTTTTTTTATAGATCGTGCATGACTTCGTGAGGTGATGAAGAGACAATCAGGTCGGAAAAAGGTTTTCATTAAAGTGATAATATTTCGGGTTTAAGACGATTTTTTTGATTGTGCAGTAAATTCTACATAATTTTTTTATAGCTATGCATTTGCGTATCGCATAAATTATGTAAATTGGTTTCGTCTGATAGGATTAGAGCGACGTAGTAGTCGTGAGCTATCAATAGCCCTGCTTGAATTAGTGCCATTGTACAACAAAACGCATCGGCTGGGTGATGCTATCTTTGGCTAATTGCTTTCGTCTCGGTGCCTTCGATCAATTTTATCTTCGTCTTCAAACTGCGCAATTTATCATTTATGACGTTTATACTCAACTGACAGTGGCTAAGAACAATAAAAACGTTTGAAATATTCCGATATTTCCCAGTCGACAGTTAAATTAACATTTTTATGAGTATCTACCCGTGCATAATACCGAATTGAACTATTATTGTACAGTTAGCAGACGATTTTCAACGCTGGACGTTAGACACTTGGATATCGCACACCGGCTTCACGCTTGTTGACAATTTGAAGAAATGTCCTACTCACCCTTTAAACTAGCCTAACCAGGAAAACCTGCAGTGCTGCCTCTGTTGCTGATAGCGCCGTTTCGACTTCTGATGCTTCAACAAGCCGGTCGACCAGCTATATGTCTGCGTAATTAACCAGCTGCCTGCCAGACCGTCTAGCCCTGCACCGTCGAACCATTTGGTAGCGGCATCCGCAGATTGGCGGCAGTCATGGCTGTAGTAGCAGTGGCCGTACAAGGGGCCGGAATCTTACTGGCACTTGTGACTGCCTTACGGTGGACGGACAAACCAAAAGGTTCTGGCGGTCGCGGGCTTTCATTTCCTTATGGTGGAAGGCTAGCCAATGAGGTGTTATCGGTATTCGATGCATCAATCTCTTCGCTGCTAGCATCTTTTCATGCATCTGCTTCCTGGACCTCATTTGCCTCACAGACACCAACACGCAAATACCTTTGTAGTCACACCCGCGCTCTCACATACACGTGTACAAGTCGGGGCCAGGCCAGGCTACGCGCACACGTCTGACCATACAGGACAAATCCTGCTGTCTTGCTTTGCCCTTGGCAGACCC